AGTTCTGTTCCAATGGAAACAATGAACTGGGAGGTTTAGACTTCACACAAATCTTCTTTCATGCCAGGTCAAACTATTGGTCCATCTAACCTAATACTACCACCTACTCAAGGGTGTCTGTATGCAAAACATGAAGTTGTTCTAGACCTGATCTTTTCGAACATCAGGACTGATGAACCCAATTACATTAGATGCAGAACAATAGATTGCTGCATTTTGGGGTAGAAACAAACATTATATTGCCTGTGATTAGCACTGTAACTACATTAGTGCTAGAGAGATGTAATTCGGGCAGACCTTCCTGTATGAAAAACCATGTTTCAATGGAATTGCAGCTTAAGTTTTTTAAGGCTTCAGTTGTGAAAACAAATTACAAAAAGAAAGCAATACAAAATTCAGATTGCATCAGGTGAGAAAAACCTCATACTGTGTGCTCTGGGGGATTCAGTAATTAAGCCATTCCCTCTTCTAATGAGAGATTATCAGGAATGCCAATTTCTGCCCTTAATGATGAACCATTCTCATTTTGACACTAGAGACCTTAAGAGAGCAATTAGCGACTGCAGAGGTTTCTATACACTGATTACAAATGGCAACCTGCCTTGTCCAGTGGACAGAAAATGGGATAAATTTTCTTGAACCTCACAGTTTTCTTTATTCCAGGTCTGGGCATATTGTTTTACCTCCACCAGTTTTCCTACCTATCTAATTCAGGTTAATTGTTCTGCATAAATTCTAGTGGGGAATAATTAGGAAATGGCTGTGCTATAAACCTTCCAGGTGTGCTTATACTTAGGGCCACGTCATGGATGCATTGCACCCCTGGGTGTTCTTACTGGAAAGTTCAAAGCCTGACTTCATTCGTTTGTAGAGCCGGTATCTCCACTCCCAGGCCTTCAGCTGCTTTTCCTTCTCACAACTGTCCGTACTGAGACCATCGTTCATTACTTGTGCAGACAGGTCGTTCACTCGTTGTTGAGCTTCTTGAACTAAGTGGTTCAGGTGGATTGACCTGCTTTCCATATCAACAACTGCTTGGAGAAAAGAACTGTGAGTCAGGCCTTTTAATAAGCAAATTACAGCAAGAATAGAAAGAAAAATAATGATCATCTCTGGCCAAAAACACATTGCCAAACGGTGAGTCTCAGAATCTTCAGCAACACTTCAAGAGACCCTAAAGATCTGCATGAGACCCAGCATAGAGATTGCAAGAAGCAGTGATGGCGGCCACAGGTGCTCTTTCAGAGCCAAGCCGGCCACCATGCATGGTTAGGGCACTGTGTTCATTTTGTTGGGTTGTCCATGGTGTAGTTCTGATGATATACTGTACTCCTTTGCTGGTACTTTAAAGATATTGCTGAAGAGTTTGATCTATTTCTGTAGATTGCCCAACCAGACTTTGGCAAAGCACTGCAATAACCACTTAAACATGAACACAAACTAAGGCTATATTTTTGTCCCCTTGGAGAACCATTTATGTATGATTTCAATATTTTGCCTTTACCATTCAAGGTGCCCTAACCATTCAAGGTGGCTTGTAACAAGAATCAGAAACCTATCGATAAAATGAATAACACAAACAAAATGCTGCAGGTTGTTCTGGGTTTTTTGGGCTCTTTGGCCGTGTTCTGAAGGTTGNNAGACAGGGTCTTATATTAATTTTTGCTCCAAAAAACGCAGTAGGGCTTATTTTCAGGGGATGTTTCTTTTTTTTCATGTGCAACAATCTACATTTATTCAAATACAGTCATGTCATCTTCTTCTGGTTGCTGCACAATGCTTTCACTTAACTAGGGCTTATTTTGGGGGTAGGACTTACATTCCGAGCATCCTGAAAAATCATACTAGGGCTTATTTTCAGGTTAGGTCTTATTTTTGGGGAAACAGGGTACCAGTTCATGAAGCTACTGCTAGAACGGTGAGGAGGTTTGTGCCAGTTCATCGGCAAGGCACCACAGGTGCTGCACGTTCCTTTCCCCCAACCTCTCTGGCCAGCAACCCCACTCACCAGTTGGCATGCGCTGCTCTTCTCCTGTTCTTCACACGATCATCCAGTCACAGCAGGAGCTCATGCTTCCTTCCTCCACCTCCTCCAGCAGCTGCCCACTCAGACAAGGAGGCAGGGCAGAGATTCCTGCAGCGTCACCTTAGAATGGGCAACTGCCAGAGGAGGCGGAAGAGGAAAGCATGAGCTCCTGCTGCGATTGGAAAATCATGCAAAGAGCAGGAGAAGTGCCATTCAAAGTGGTGATTTATAAAGATCAGTGCACTAGGAGAGAAAACCTTTCCCCATGAACTGTAATATTTAGCAACGAATTAGAACTGGACTAAATCCAACAGCGTCCCACCTAGAGGAGACTCAATAAAATGAATGGACGTTACTAGGCATATAACTTATTTAACTCCCAATGACTCTAATAGGTCAACCCTGTGTAGAACTAATATTGTAGTTAGCCCAATGTCTATAAATGTTGTTTGGGGGGATTTGACTCTAGAAAAATAACCACAACCATATCAAACTTTGATAGTACACATTAGTATGTATGTATCTCCCTTTATGAGCCTGCCTGAGTGTTAAGATCATCGGGGGAGGCCTTTGACTTAGTCCTGCCACCCTCACAAGTGCGTTTGGAGGGGACATGGGAGAGGGCCTTCTCTGTCACTGCTCCCAGACTCTGGAACTCCCTCCCACAGAAGTTCAGGTTGTTCGGATGAGGCATCTTTGCTGTCCTTATGGAAGCAATCAATAACCTTTTTCTTCAAGCAAGCTTTTCTTTGTGACTGACTGTCCCGGAGAGGTCTTTAAATGACATGGTTTGCATTTTGTCACCTCTAAATCGGTTTTAGTAACGCTTTACCTAACTGTTTAAATATAATATTAATTCCTTTAATATTTGAATAATTCACTATTTTTTAGCTTTAATGTTGTGTTATATATTAAGGATATATAGGATGAAGGAGCTTTTATCTGAAATGACTTGTCCTCAGATTATTTCACAATTGAAAAGAAAAATTGAATTGCTATTTCTCAACTGGTTTAATTTAGAACCTAACCAGTTCTGTTCACATGTAGTCCCAGCCGCTGAAGTGGGAAAGGGAACTGGACATACAGCCCCCATTTTTTTGCATGCAACTCCCTAATTTGTGCATATGTGTGCATGGACCTGCATGCGCACATGCCCACAGAAGCAGACTTTGAGTTTGATGCACACCCCTAGGTGGACCTGGAACAAAAATATAATGATAAGCACAGTGCTGTATTTTCAAACGGGAATGAAGTGGTTGTAGATTCATAGGCATGTTTGTATTAATGACGGGAAATGAATACTAATTTATGATTGCCCCTGTATGCCATCAGACTGCATTTATTTACAGATGAAGTCAATGAAAAATTAGTTTAGTCTTCTTCTTCTCTTTTTTTTTTTTCCAAAGCTGCTCTTTGGAACACTCAAGGCTGTGTTTTCCTGGAGATTTGTCATGCCTGATGAATGTTGCTTCAGCCGTCAATCACATCCTCCAAACTCTGTCACCCTTGGGTTTTTCCCCCAGTCACGAACCGTCACAGAAAAATAAACAAATAAATACGAAACTGCACAACCGTTTTCATTGAGCAGCTTCACTATACAACGGAAGGAGAGGGAGGAATCTCTTGGGAAAGCTAAAAGAGGCCAGGAGGAATGATAATGTAAGTGCTATGGGTACAGCATGAGCAGTAAAAGTGCACCAATCCTGAGACCTCAACAGCAAGCAGTGGTGGAGGGAAATACACACCCTCACGTACACGCACAGCCCAGTAGAAAAAATGTTTTTGGCAATAGTAGCAGCCTCAAGGTGCAATTTCCTGGAGCCTGGAGATTGACAGGTCCATACTAAATGTTGTTAATTTAACTAACTCCAAATTAATAGGACAGCCTGCTAGGCCTGAACCCCTGAACACACAGTTTCATTATGGGCTTGCTGGGAAAGGCCTAAATATAGGCATTATCAGTCCTGAGCAAAATACGTAGGCTTCAATGTATTTTTAGCCAAAAGTATAAGGCGTCAGAATGTGTGTCATGGCTTAGAACATGATTAATTGACCCGGCAAGTCCCTTCGTCTCCTTTCGCAAACAAACAAACAAACAAAAAAAGCTGTCCCGCAAAGAAAGACAAAGGATTGTTTCACAAACTCCTCTAAGTGCTCTTAGTGTATTAGTTTCATGCTGATACTGAACCAGGATTGGCTTTGGCAGCAGCCAGTTCAACACACCACAGCACAACCACAGAGTACAAGGATTCCATTTGTTGCCAGCTTTTAGTCTCGCTTCAGATTCTAGATGTATTTATTTTCCTACTTATTGATTGTGCAGTTTCTTGTGCAATCTGGTGCTCTTAAAACAAAACAAACATGGCAGAGTTCCTTAGCCCACGGGATTATTATATTGGATTAACGGAAGGAACGGAGGGTACTGCGGAGTATCTGTGCAATGCTGGCTGAGCGCTAGGAGATGCACGTGCCTCTAAAGGAAATTCTAAAAGGCAAACACGAACTTTTGCATGAAATACTTGTGAAATATCAAAGACACTGCATGTTTTCAGAGAAGACCTCACACATCATTTCCATATCTGTGTGGTGGGTGGGTGGTGATGAGATGATTTTTAGATCAGGGATATGCACCATCTTCGGATAAAAAGGATCCAAATGGGGCCAAATAGGGATATCTCTGCATTTCCAAATCAGTTCTAGGGCAGTTCAAGATGTCCCCAGTTGCCTTTGAGTCAGTTTTCTGGCCCCTACAAATCGGTCAATTGGTCAGGAATTTTGAGGAGTTAAAATCCCACAAGTTGGACGGAAGAAAAAACTTGGTACACATTGTACATCAGGAGAAATTAAAACTAATAATAAAGCAAAAGAAAGAAGCACCAGAGCAGAAGCAGATTGACAGCTGAGGCCACAGGGGAAGCCAAAACCTTCCTGTCACCTCCAGGACCTCAGACTCTTGTGAGGAATCAGACTTACCTCAGTGGATGCTGCGTTATCCTATCCCCTCAACCGAGCAGCAATTTCAGATCCAGGCATGGGAAAACGTCTTACTAGAGTGGCCAGTACAGATGGGCACAAACCGGTGGTTCGTGTTGCTTCTTCCTTTGGATGAACAAATTTTCAGCTCTTCCCAGCCTTGCCTCCTCTGGCAGGTAACCACTCAGAGGCGACACCCAGAGGAGGTGGCCCAGGGAACCCGGGACTCAGCCTCTACGCAGAAGCCCACCGAAGAAGGCAGGGCTCGGAAGTGCCGAACCCCTGTTTGTGTCCATCTCTAGTGGCCACTTTCTATGATCCTCTTTTTTTTTTCCTTTTTCTTTGAGTAGCTACATCGAGTCTTCATTAGACTTGAGACTGAGTATACGGGCAAATACACCCAGAGGAGGTGGTCCAGGGAACCCAGGACTCAGCCTCTGCGCAGAAGCCCACCGAAGAAGGCAGGGCTGGGAAGTGCCGAACCCCTGTTCGTGTCCATCTCTAGTGGCCACTTTCTATAATCTTCTTCCTTTTTTCTTTGAGTAGCTTACCTCGAGTCATCTTTAGACTTGAGACTGAGTATACGGGCAAATGTGGGATGAATGAAAGACTCCACTGTGTGGGCTTGGACTGGATAAGTCAAAGTAACATTAGGGACTGGCTCCCCTTTACTTCATTTTCTACCTTCTTTTATTTATTTATCTTTTCCACAGCTGCGGCTGGTCTTTACTTACAGCAGCCATTGTCACATTTGATGGGGGCCACAGACTGAAAACTTTTTTTAATTTTGTTTTTCTATTCCTCTGTTCATATTGTATCCTTGTTTGTTGGGGTCCCTGGAATCTGAGAAGAGCTCCTATTAGGGGCATGGCAAAAACACACACACACACAAAACACCAGGTTGAGAATGGCTGACTTACAAGACCGTTTTCCCCTTTTAGATGCCCATACAGGACCCTGATTTGGGCTAGGCAGTGTACACATATGGCTAGCCAGGCTATTGACTGGAGACACTATGGGAACATTTTCCCCACCTCCAATACATCCCTCTCCACCTTAATTTATTGTATTTCACTAATTGGTGTACTGCAAGAGTGTCGCAGACATTTTCTGACTGAATCATAGCACCCTATAGCTTCTTCTGTGGCCATGACACCACTGCACTAGCAGGTTTCCTTCAGAGGAAACAGGGATGAGTGTCAGTTGGGCAACAGTGCCCAGCAGATGTGGAGGGGGGGATTCATAGAAGGACAGGGGATGGGAAAGAAATAGAGTGCAATGGTTCTTGGAAAAAGAAGGAAGGAAAAACATGCTGTTTATATACGACCTGACAATATGCCCCCCCCCAGTGATCTGGATATTCCATTTACCAACTTTGGAAAGGTGTAAGCCTGAGTCAACCTTGAGCCAGCTACCTGGGCCTGTCAGGATTGAACTCAGGGTGTGAGCAGAATCTTGACTGCAGTACTGCAGTTTAACCACTGCACCATGAGGAAGGAAGGAAGGAAGGAAGGAAGGAAGGAAGGAAGGAACAAACAAACAAACAAACAAACAAACAAACAAACAAACAAACCTTGCCTGCATACTTCATACCACTACATTCACAAAACTGATGGTGCTGCATTGTGCTTCTCATTCCCAGTCATAGCCCTTGGTTTTCTCCTTTTGCACCCCTTGCCAATCTGGAAATATGTAACTATTACATGGATCTCAGAACAAACCAATTTCAGCCCAGAAATAACTCAGGGTAGGTCAGCCCCAATCTGTATAGCAAATATTCAGATACAAAATGGATTGGGTAGGACTTGCATGCCCCTCATTTAGATAAAGTGTAGCTACTTGTAAAAGAGAAGGAAGTGGTATATAAATCTGGAAGCCTCTGAAAACCAAGCTTTTCAGATGGCACCCATGAACCTCATTGGAGCAGAATTCTAATTGAAACTAGAAACATTGAGCTTTGCTTTGTTGTGAACAAAAAGGATCCGTTTTCTTTCTAAATATAAAATAGAATTTGAAAAGCAACAACCCAGCAATAACACCACCGCTTTGGAAACCAAACTTAAAAAAAACAAAACAAAAACCCAGAGCTGAAATTCAAGTTTGGGGATTTTTTATGTGCGTGCATGTCGGTCTCGTCTCTGGGTGTCTGTATGGGTATACTATGTATATACTTACAATGACAAAAAAATTTATTTGATGTTTGATGTCTCCTCACTAGCTTCAGTTCATATTTCTACATTTGCCAACAACATTTCTCTACATATGTGTAGCCAGATCTCTAGGCAGACCAGTGGCCGTGCTGCCTAAGGGGTTCAAAGAACAGTAATCCACTCCTTCCCACAAAACAACATCCCAAATCTCTTTTCCCACCCTTTTTACCTACCATACGTAAGCAGCCATACAACTGGCTTCTCATATCTTGAGCCCTCTCTTGCCACAGTATTTACCTGGCATTTTCTGTATAATTCGGCAAACATTTGCATTTTGGGCTATACTTACAGTGCGGGCTCTCCCTAGCCCCGACTTTCAAAAGAAGCTTGGCAATAGGCACATTATTTGTTAGGACTGCTATATCCAGTGCAGTTAATCCTTCACTATTAGGAGTGTTGAGATCCAGTTCCTCAGGCGTATATTGATAGAGGAGGATCTGAACAGCCTCGAGGTCCTGCTGCTCCACCGCCTCAAGCATGGCTTCACAGCACTGGAGGTTCTGTTCATCAGCACCAGAGGATTAACAAAAAAATTAAAAACAAAACAAAAACAAAAACAAACAGAAATAGCGTCATCATGACCAGTGGGGTAGGGTTCAGTCCTACATAAAACCATTATAAATAACCTGTTTATGAATAATATCACCTCAAGCTGAGCTCCAGCATCAGTGGCAATTTATTCTCACTTTCTTCCTCACACACAAACACACCAATGCCGGCCGGTCAAGGTCAAGTGCATAAGGGTCAAATCACACATCACGACAGCAAATCATTAAAAGAAGAAAAGCCTTAACAGTAGAAAATGTCTGACTGCGGAAAGTGCTTTTCATCCCTCCTGTAGTCAGCAAATTGTTTCGCTCTGTTCTGTGACTGGTCATCAGGAGGGCTTCATTTACTAGCCTGGTTTCTGAGACTTGATTGCCTGGAACAAGAGCTGGTGTGCATCAGAGAAAATGATTTGACAGGAGGTTTTTGTTTTGTTTTCCTCTCTCGTTTGTTGTAGATTTTTATGCCTATCACCAATTTTACAGCTCAGTAGTTTAGGTACATTATTTTTAGGACTGCTATATCCAGTGCTGCTCCTAATTTTGCTGATTTTCTGTAGCTCTGATGATGTCATTTCTGAAATCTGCAAAGTTCCAAATAGATTCCTAATTTTGCTGATTTTTTGTAGCTCTGATGATGTTATTTCTGAAATCTGCAAAGTTCCAAATAGAGTAGTCCTAGAATGAGCTGGAATTTTTAGCATGTATACATTACTGAAACAGTAACATTTACGTTGGCTTGTTGTGAGAATGGCTGACGGTCAGATTCCAAAAGATCTCCTATATGGAGAATTAGTGCAGGGAAATCGCCCCAGAGGGAGCCCACAGCTGCGATACAAGGACATCTGCAAGTGGGATCCGAAGGCCTTAGGAATGGACCTCACCAGATGGGAAACCTTGACATCTGAGAGTTCAGCCTGGAGGCAGGCAGTGCATCACGGCCTCTCCCAATTTCAAGAGACCCTTGTTCAGCAGGCCGAGGCAAAGAGGCAGTCCCGAAACCAACAAAAACAGGGAGCTGGACAGGGGACAGACTGTATTTGTCTTCAATGTGGAAGGGATTGTCACTCTTGAATTGGCCTTCTCAGCCACACTAGACACTGTTCCAAGTCCTCCATACAGAGCACGTTACCATACTCTTTCGAGACTGAAGGATGCCTACATACAGTTTAGATATCTGGCAAAAGAGCGAGAGTGTTGTCGTTTAATTCCCCACTGTGCATCATAGAAAAGGCAGACTGTGCAGCCTTAGGCAAGCTGCATCATCATCAGCATATTAAGATTATGATTCAAAGATACCAGGCAGAATCAATCAAAATTATAAAAGCATTGACTGGTGTTATATAACAGATACAAGTTTTAACCAAAAACCTAAGTATCTGTTAAATATCAACATAGTATATATGCTGTTCCTAATCTTGCTGTTTTTTTGTAGTTCTGATCATGTTATTTCTGAAATCTGCAACTGGTTATAATATTGTGTGAAATTGTTTGATATTGTTCCCAAAGCCCCGATGACACTGGAGACCACTGAGGCAATTTTCATCCACAACGGAGATACAGTATTTCAGTTGCCTGGTCTCTATATTTTGTTTATTTTTCCCATTCTTTATCTTCAACTCTGGCATCTCCTGGAATTGCAATGTTAATTATCCAGACATTTCCTCATTCTATTTCTGCTATGTCTGGTGTGTTATTATAATAATATTACTGTATTAGTTTATTATATGTTGTTGTTGCGTTTCATAGGAACTGCCGTGATCTTGAAAATAATGGATGAAAAGAAGTATTTTAAATAAGTAAAAATAGACAAAATTTCTGTACTCCTGACCAGGATATCCAGTGCTCTGGAGTAGGAGAGGATAATGCATAATGTAATAATAATTATGATTAAATATTTATTTGTATTCTCAAAGGCTTTCACGGCCGGGATCCGATGGTTGTTGTAGGCTTTTTGGGCTGTTTGGCCGTGTTCTGGAGGTTTTTCTTCCTAACATTTGGCCAGTCTCTGTGTCCGGCATCTTCAGAAAACAGGAGTTAGAACTAGCTTTTGTCCTCTGAAGACGCTGGCCACAGAGACTGGTGAAACGTTAGGAAGAAAAACCTCCTGAACATGGCCAAACAGCCTGAAATGCCTACAACAACCAAATATTTATTTTTTTATTAAATTTATCTCCTGCCCATCTCCAGTGAGCACAGGCAGACACATGCTGCTTTTCCCTTACTATGTTATCGCTGCATAAATCCTGTGCAGTCACAGGAAAAGCGTGTGAACCTTAGTAAGTTTTGTGGCTCAGCGGGAACAGGAACCTGCATCTCCCGAGTTTCAGCCCATCATCTGAGCCACTGCTCCATGGTACCAGGGCATGAGGTATATTAGGAAGGAAAAATGTCATATTGAGATACTGTTTTTGCGTGTGAATAAATGCCTTTATTCAGGGCCAGCCCTAATATTAGCCAGAAAGAAGCAGCCATTCAAAACAGCAGATTATGGATGCAATGTAGAGCCTGGTTAGCTATTTCATTTATACCATGTTTTCCCGAAAATAAGACAGGGTCTTATATTAATTGGTATATTAGGAAGGAATAATGTCATATTGAGATACTGTTTTTGCGTGTGAATAAATGCCTTTATTCAGGGCCAGCCCTACTATTAGCCAGAAAGAAGCAGCCATTCAAAACAGCAGATTATGGATGCAATGTAGAGCCTGGTTAGCTATTTCATTTATACCATGTTTTCCCGAAAATAAGACAGGGTCTTATATTAATTTTTGTTCCAAAAAACGCAGTAGGGCTTATTTTCAGGGGATGTTTTTGTTTTCCATGTGAAACGATCTACTTTTATTCAAATACAGTCATGTCATCATCTTCTGGTTGCTGCACAATGGTGGAAGGCAGGGTTTCACTTAACTAGGGCTTATATTACGAACATCTTGAAAAACCATACTAGGGCTTATTTTCAGGTTAGGTCTTTTTTTCAGGAAAACAGGGTAACTACTATGCTTATTGTGCTAGGGAGGGCAATAGACTCTTGTGTTCCAAAATAACTAGGTTTGCTTTGGTTTTTATACACCTTTATTTGTTGTATAATGGCCTAGTGAAGTAAAAATGTATTCCCCTTTCCTGCTGTGCCTCAGGCAGTAAAATGTAGTCAAGACCACCTTATATTGCCAGGGGTTCATCTCCTTGATTTAAGGTCACTTTTCTATCAGAATCACATCTGATACATTGAAGCAGACATTTCAGTGAATAGAGGGGGTGTTACAAAACTATCACACTGATCCTCAAATGCTTTTTGTATCTCTTAACAATATGGCTACACTGGTGGCAATTTTAGTCTATGCGAAATAATTTGGCATCATCTTCTATAATTCATACCATATTTCTTGATTTCTGAGAAGCATGCACAAGTGTTTACAAGAAAACTGTGTATGTGGTTTTTCTCTTTATTCACTTAGAAATAAATATAATTTGAAAGAGATTTAGCCATTTAAGCTCTTCATGAGAAGTTCAGGTACAGCTGCAATCTCTCAGATGTATATTTAGACTGTATTAAGTAGTTTTCCTAGAAAGAAAGAAAGAAAGAAAGAAAGAAAGAAAGAAAGAAAGAAAGAAAGAAAGAAAGAAAGAAAGAGAGAGAGAGAGAGAGAGACAGACAGACAGACAGACAGACAGACA